TAAGTTTTGTTATGATCAACCTTGGTCAAGTAAGATGAAAGTTTTAGAAAAAATTGAAGACTTTTATGAGTGTTTATAGAACGTCTAATTCATAGACCTATCGATCAGCAATTTAGAATCCATTATTTAACATATTTGTATCAATAAGAAAATGATCTAAATAACATGAGAAAACTTTTGAAAAGATCCGCGAGATTTATTATAATTACTTAAATAGTGTGATAAATTATTCCAATTTTATTTAACTATTTGACTTCCAACTTCTTGTTTGCAAAAATCGAAATTTTGATTTATTTATTTTTTTTTTTGAAAGAAAGAAATTACATTTCTCTATAAAAAAAACCATTAGTAATTGTGAAAACGATAAAAAGTTTTTCCAAATCAATAAAGAATATGTTATTAATACCTTTGTTCAATAGCTGTAGTCAAACGTATGTATATATATATATCATCCGCAGTTAATGAGTTAATTAATTGAATTTCTATTTATATTAAATATCAAGGATTGTTCATTTTTTCAAAAATATTAATACGAACAATTTTTTAAAATTTCTGCAATAATTTAATTAATATTTTCTAATAGATCTTAACTATAGTTTATTATGTGTTATTAATTCATCCGTTTGAATTTATTGTGCATATCATGATTAACATGTTCTTTTTTTTTTGTGATAGTGATCAAGTGAAAATAATCATCACATCGTCTGATTCTATTGCTCCAGTTGGTTATTTAAAAATTGAAAAAGCTCATCTAGAACCAAAATAATCTTCATGTATGTTAATCTCATTCTTGTTTCTCACACAAATATATGATTACTATTTTTGTAATTTATTTTTGTTTTTTTAGGATACATTCATAACAAAATATGCAAGATCTTTTTTCTTTTGTTTCTGATTACCGTTATGAAATAAAGCTCATAACATACATATCATTCATATAGTTCAAGATCAAAGAGGTATATAGCTAATGTCACTATTTCGAGTCATAATCATCGATCATATGTTGCAATCAGGTAGTAAAAAGTAATCTTTCTCAACATTATTGTCCATCCCCACGGGAGGAGAAGTTTCCGCTCGTGAGAGGCTATCATTATTTCATGTTTTTCTTTTTGTTTTTTTTTTTTTATTCGTTTGAATACCTACTTGTCGGTACTTAAGATATTTTTTGTTATGCAAATAGAAAAGATGATTGTTTGTTTGAAGGTGTCATAGACTACTCTTGTTGGATTGTCAAAGCCGCTCATGCATCGATCTCATTTACACTTCACAAATACATATATACACATACATTGAAAGATAAAAACATGCCGATAGACGAAACGATCCATTCAAGAAGAAGAAGAAGAAGAAAAAAAAATCAGAGACAATAACACGAGCGTGAGATATCACACTTTTTGACAAGCTCAATCATCATGAGAAGGGCGGTACCTTGAACAAATAACAATTCAAAAGAGAAGATATTTTAAATATATACACACACGTTTTATATACAAGTTATCACAACATATATAATATAGTGACAATATCTTTATGAACCACTAATGAATATTCTTTTATATGGTACCTTTTTTTGTTTTTTAGATAAATCAGATCTCTCTTGATTCTTGTTAATGTTTTATTAAAACAAAACAATCAATTGTGTTTATTTTTTCTTTCGTTTATATTACGTTTTTATTTTATAAATTTTTCTTTATTTTGCACGTTTCGTACACATTTGATAAAGCCTGATAAGTATAATCTTGAAGTCAAATATCAAAGAGAGAAAAAAATTATTATTGATTTGTAGTCAATATATTGTATGATAGTGCCTCCGTAACTCAACCGATATATTCCTATCGAATCTTTGAATGTACATTATCCAAGCATGAATGATAAACGACCGATCGTTTGCTTATACTTGTATAATCTTTCTATCCAACTAGTCGTCTTAAAGAAGCACTTCGTTGATGAATACTTTCTTTCCCTTGATCTCTTTTCTTTTGGCGGAAGACATATGTCGTTAATCATTTCATGTAAGCGCAGGAGGGATACGACAGGTAGTGACGAGCATGATAAGTATGCCGAGTGTTGATGGACGTTGCAAATATAGAGAAAATGAGAGTAAGTAATGCCGCTTTAGTTGTCTACGCATTTTCTTCTACGTTATAAGTAAGGTGTTTGTATGCCTGTTAGATTGCACATCCGATCGAATGAATTGAAATGAATGACGGCATTCAAGGAATAAAAGCAAAGAGAAAAGGAAATTCAAATCGGATGTAGAATGTTCGCGCCGACGTTAATCAAGTGGAAACACAAGAAGAGGATGCACTTTGAAATTGAGACGATGATGAAAGTACTTGCATACCTAATCCGATAAATTGCTGCCAGTTCAATGAATCAATAGATTTTTTTTGAATGCAGACAAAAAAAAGAAAGAAAAAAAGAATAAGAGGAAAATGAATCTTCAGTTTTATGTGAGTGGATAATTTTTCAAGGTCAAGCTCTAAAGTAAAAAAGAAAACCTATTATTAGTCTATATTGATGTTGATTGAAGCGTTTCTCTTCATTACATTTTAATCTTCTCTTTCATTCGAGAGCTTACTATGTTGTGTATATAGTGGTCAAGACAAAAAAAAACACAAAAAGCAAGCAACCGGAATGATGGTGTGAAAGGGCGACCGTGTGTATGTATTGTTACACGTCGTTTTATCTTATGCCGCCTGCCTTGATTGGCCTTATCCCCTTGCGGTCGAAACGAAAGGCGTGATTGGAACCGCCTGTTTCAACATACACACAAATATAGACAAAAAAAAAACAGAATGAACGGCTAGTTATATAGACAAGTGGGAGTGCGACAAGACGTGTGATGTATATCAAGCCTCCTGCTGACCGATGAAGCAAACTATTGATCATAATGATTTAACCGACAGAGAAGAAAAAACTTTGATTCATGCAGAATAAATAGATAGATAGATAGATAGACAAACTAACTGTGATGATGATGAGGGCAGGGCATATGAACTAATCAACGAACTTCACTGTTTGACATCAAAACGGCACGTACACAAGGCGCATCATTTTCCTTGTTAAAATTGTTTGGAATCTCTCAAGCACGATTGAATTTCCGTATCAATGGTAACATTCTTATTTGAGATAGAAAAGAAAAAAAAAGATGACTAGATTCAATTGAGAAAATATCTTATCAAAAGAAATAAAAGACTATGCCATTTTCTTTTTCTTTTTGTTCATCAAAATAAAAAATTTTTAAAACAAAAGAAAAAAAAACGAATCCCTTGAGTGAAAAAAAAAGGTCATTCTCATTCAATAAGAATCTGATGTATATCTTACACCTTTCGTGTGCATGCGTGCATATATTCAAAATTAGTTATTTGACTTTAAAGAGATGGAAGAAAAATGAGATTTGGGGTGTGGTAGCTCATTTCTTCTTATTTTTATTCTTCAAAGCAATACCGACTTTTAAATAGTAATGCGATAATGATAATTACTTCAAGTATATATATATATACTTTCAAATCAACATAGAATAAAGTTTTCCGTTTGAAAAAGAAAAATTCGTGCACGTGTGTTTGCATGTATGAACACAAAAGAGGTGATGATGATGATAATAGGTTTGACAAAAGTGTGCAAGCAGGCAATAAAATTCGATAGTGAAGAAGATCGGTCTAATTTTTAAATGTATGCTTATATGTCTGCATTCACAACATATGTGTCAAATGGATTCTTTTGAAGATCAGATCGACACCGACCGTCCTTTTTCACTTTTTAAATGTGACATGCAAGTGACACCACCCATCGACGACACGTTGATTTTTCTTTCTTTTTTTTTTATAGTAGACCTATATATATAAATTATTGATTTTTCAATGATTATAGACGTGAATGCTACCGGTTCAATACTCATGTGTGCGCGATTTCACACTCAATTGCCGATTGTTTATATTTGCTCGTCTTTGAAATCGACTACTCACTACCACTCATCATCAAGGGGAAAAGAAGAGAGTAGACGCGCGCGCGTGTGAACGTATATATATGCCTTTCATTCTAATCTGAACATTTCGACGTATATGGAACGAGAGAAGCAAAATAGCTGCCGGCACTTCATATACGTATGTTTGTGTGTCGCTATTCTTGTTTGAACTTTTTTTTAAGTGCATTAATGCGCGTCAAAGAAACAACAGTCGAACAGAAATAAGCACAATAAATTAGGAAAATCTTTCTTTTTCTTTTTACTTTGCAATTGTCTTGTTTTCGAAATACTACTTGTTGATTCAATTATTCTTTTTATAAAGTTCTGTTTATACAGAGACAACGATAATCTCCACGTCGATGATGAAGACGACTGATTATTTGAATCAACACACATCGGACAGCTCAAAGAAAAAAAAAAGGATCGGTTTGAGATTAAATTTTTGTTCGCTTTGATCGACACCGCCCTATTCTATTGCACGAATTTTTGTTGTTTTCTTCTCTAAATTAAACGCAAACGAAAGTATATTATTTCTTTCTTGTTCTTGTCTGTGTTTTTCTTTTTCTTTTTTTTCTTATTTTTTTCCATTGGTTAATATCTTGTTCTGTTAATCTTAACAACCAATACGAATCAAAACCGTAGGATGATGAACACCAATGTGTAAAGAGAGGCGAAGGGCGGTATGTTCACAGAAGAGACAGAAAGGGAGAACGGATAATCAAACAACATCTTCATTTATAGAGAGAAAGAGGAGAAAAAGGAAAGAGAGAAAAAGGCGAGAAATAGAAATAAGCGTCTCGTCTTTCTTTTGTACATGGTGTCAAAGGCGGAGTCAAAGATAGATACACTGCTTAAAAAAAAGCTAAAAAGAGGAAGAGAGAGAGAGAAAGAGAAAGAGAGAAATATCGACTAGTGTGAATATGTGTGTCTATTTTTCATTCAATCGAATTATAGACAAAATAGAATGGTCCTTTTGGCTCATCCATTTCTCATTCCGACACACAACCTGTCTTCCACGCCCACTAACTTGATCATGGTAAGTTTTACTAGTATATGACAAGAAAATCAATCTTAAGATTACTTATCGTATACAAATCTAAAGTCTTTAGTGATATATGATATAGAGATATCTCAGTTTTTTTTTCTGCTATTGTTGTTATTGTAATTCTCTAGTAAATTATATATTGAATAAAACAAAAAGATTCTATTTAAAAAAAAAGTCTTTGGGCAATGAGACTATTCGTCTGGTCTCAATCATCATGGTGATCAAACGAACGGTCAGCTATAGCTTAAAGCAAGCTCTCTTCGATTTGCATACTAATCATCAATCGTAGATGCACCGCTACTTCATCACATTGTGATGCATAAACATTCGAGCCGCTCGCTCGCTCGCCCGCCCGCCCGCTTCTCACTTCGCTTGTTGTCCAATTAAGTTGATACTAAACCGAACACATTACTCGTCATCTTCAAAAAAAAAATGAAAAGAAGAACGAAAACAGGCAGTAGCAATTTGGACTACTTGCCGGCAGATTATCACATTAAAGTATGTGTCGGCATCGAATAATGAGCCTTAAACAACAAGGCAAACACACACGTGCTGTTTTAGTTCAAGCTAAATTAGCTGATATAAATATATTTAGATCTTCTTGTCTGCTTTTGATCTTTTCTTTTTCCCACCCACTATCCGATTTTTTCAGCTCGTTAGCAATGACGAGCCACTTGAAAAATAAATGCATGGGATCGTATATATATATATTTTCTTCATCGGAGGTGGAACTTCAAAAAAAAAAGACGACGGGTGTATGTGCGCATGATTGATAGACAAATGAGAAATCATCGTATTACCATTTCCGATTCGTTCAATTAGTAGTCAAATGATTTATATGTTGACTATTTAATTATTCATTTCTTTATTTTTTTTTTTTATGTTTTGAAGGATCGAACAAATAATACTATGCCTCGTCCAACTATTGCTCGACCTATACCATTAAATCCACGTTCAGTTTCAACAACTAAAATTGAAAAACAATCAACATCACCAATACCATCATCATGGTTCCCATTAGATCGTTTACATACAGAAGCTATTATTCGACATAAAGCATTACAATTGTTACAAGCAAGATTTCCTCTTAATACAGTTGATTTTCTTTCTCCAATTCCACCACCACCACCGATTCATCCTCATTCACTTGCTGCAATACTTTCATCATCAAATTCACCCAATAATTCATCATCATCATCATCATCAAGTTCTTTCAATTCAAGTTCGTCAAGTCCACCACCACCACCATCATCATCATCACTTTCATTAGCATTTCGAACACCATTATTACCTCCACCTCCACCTCTACCTCAAACACCCATATCATCACGTAAAGAATCATCAAAACAATCTTCAGATAAATGGTGGAGTGTTAATGAACATTCATCAGGTTTATTTGGTTCGGTAACACGACGATGTAAACGTTGTCGTTGTCCAAATTGTATAAATCAACCATCAAATATTTTATCAGATTCATCAGCATCAAAACGTCAACATATATGTCATATATGTAAAAAAATTTATGGTAAAACATCACATTTAAAAGCTCATCTTCGTTGGCATGCTGGTGAACGTCCATTTCGTTGTCATTGGTTATTTTGTGGTAAAGCATTTACACGTTCAGATGAATTACAACGTCATTTACGTACACATACTGGTGAAAAACGTTTTGCATGTCCTAAATGTGGTAAACGTTTTATGCGTTCGGATCATTTATCAAAACATTCAAAAACTCATGATATTTCATCATCATCGACAATACAATCAACAGCAATTATTAATCATCAACCAACTAAACATCTTGAAACAACTATTAGAAGTAATAGTAGTAGTATAAGTAGTGAAGAAATATGTGCAGAAATTTCATCACATGAAGATGATGAACAAGATGAAATTATTGATGTGCAATATTGACACTTATTAGAATTTAAATAACAGTGATGTATAAACAAGACTTTTCTTTTCTTTTTGAATGTCTCGGTGTTTAAATGTGTGTGGTTCTTCTTATACTATTGTATATGTATATATAAAATAAGATTGTCATTGTCTGCTTTTATTTATTCACAGAAAAAAAAACAAACTTTAATTGATCATAAAAGCGCTTTTTTTTTGTTTTAAATTTATTATATTTTATAAATGATGCAAAATTTGGATAGACCAACAGAGATATGTACTAATCAAGTTGTGTGATTGATTAATAGCGATAAAAAAAAACAGAAATCTAAGATATTTATCTTTAGTTATTATCTATTCCTATTGATGGTCGATGGATATGGGATGAAAAGAAAAAAGAACTTGTTTATGAAAGGTATATGAATGAACTTGAAAATCTATTGATTAATTGATTTATGATTAAAGTCGTCATCGAATAAATAATAATAAAAAATCAATTTCAAATGAATTATTAAAAATTGATCTAAGATCTGGTTTAATTCATTATCGAAAACAAAATCGACCTTTACAATATATTATTAAAACAAAAGATAATAACAAAATTACACTTGATGATGTTATTCGTTAGTTTAGTTTTATTTTTATTTTTGAAAAGGATATGTAATGAATATAGAATTCTAATCAAAAAAAATTTTTAAATTCGAATATGATTATTAGATATATTCGACATAAGTCATTTATTTTGCTTGACTAATGATCTAGTCTCAGATCAAAAATCACTATCGATTGCTAAGTGAAGAAATACTTTTATAATGGAATGTCTATGGAATACATTTTTGAAATTGAAATATAACTTAAATAGCTAAAATAAATCGAAAAGATGGTATGTTTTCTATACACAAGCAGTAATTTCTTCGTTTTATCAAGATATTCTCAAAGTTGCCTTATTACACGATACACCTGCAAAATCACTTCCGTGTCTCGAAGAAGCTACGATTGTTTGAGTTAAAACTTTTTCTATAAGCATTATATAGTTTCTTATATGTCTATATTTTAATTTTTAAAGAATTTTGTACCAATGATTTTTGATAGGTCTTACAAAAAAATAGTTCCGTAAAAATAAATGAAAGGAGATTAAAACTCACCCTTAATATTCTCACATCTTTTTGAACGAAGTATCTGAAAATTGTAAGTTTATTATTATTATTACCTAAGAAAATTTAGAAGATTTTTTGAATTTTTGACTAACTCTATGAAATATTTTCTTATAGACTTCCAAATCTTCAGATCCCATATGTTCTTTTTTTTTCTTTTTAAGAAGCATCATTTAATGTAATGAGTGAAATTTTTTATATACCGCTTGAATTTGAAGAATTTGTCAGGTAATAAATATCTTAATGAAAGAAAACTTTATTTGATTAACTAGAATGCCACAAGTCCATGAATTTCTCTTATATTTACTTAATTATTTTTATTGGTTTTTTGAAACCATGGATAATACTTTATCAAAAAATGAACGATATATGTGAATTTAATATAAAAACTTTAAGATTATTAATAAAATTCTTTTTTTTCTTTTTTTTTTTTATATAGAGATCGTTCACAAATGGAAAAAAATCGTATTCGTATTGCATATGCTAATTTACTTACTTGTCTACGTGAACTTGGTTGTAAATATGCTATATTATTATTAGGTATCGATCTAAAAGATTTTCATCATATGCGTAATGGCGAGTAAGAGTTAATTAAGTAGATAATAAAAATTTCAATAATATATTATGCTATAAGTCTTTATTATTCATGTACACATATTGATCGAACTATATATGAATCTCTTTTTATTTTTTCAACATATTTTACTTGGATTACATTTTATAGACAAAATTTTGATTCGATTCGTAATGAATTAGCTAGGTAGAATTTGAACTTTTCTTTTAATTCCTTCTATATATTGTATATTTAAGATTATTTCGAGCTGATGGTGATGTTGAAATGCTTCAAATTCCAACGACAGAAGTAAATCGATACATAAATATGATGTGATGATAAAGAGTGTTTCAGAAATTTCGAAACGATCCAAAACTTTATCGTTCTTGCATCTAATAAAAGTTGATTCTTTTAATCTTTGGCAGATGATTGAATCTAGTCAATATTAAACAATTACAAAGTTTGAGATCTATAGCTTTTACTAATAAATGCGCCATAAATAATGACTGATTCTTCATCATATCGTGAAACAGCGTTAAAACTAATAATCTTAAAAGTGGTCGTAAGCATTGAACAATGTTCAATATGAAAGACTACGATAGTCGTTACTTTGAATCAGTACTCTTAAAAATTGGAGAAATTTGATGAAAGACAACCATGGTGAAATATTTCGACGTATAGGTTCGATCCATTTGCAAGAAAATCGATAGAAACTTATGATAAGAGTTCAAGTTTGCACTCACGAGGTAATAGCCTTTAATTGATTGACATTATTGTCAATGATATTTTGCCCATATGTCAAGACATTATTCTAAGAAGAATTCTATGAAGATTGGAGCTAATAGGACTTACTTCGAAAGTTGTAACCAATTTACTTAATTAGAAGGATTTTTACAGTTTGCAGTATAATTCTTTGAGTCAATTCGATTGATAAAATATCTTTGATGGTATAACAAATCACAGACATTCCTTGCTTAAAATCATCAATCATTTCGAAAAATTAGATCTCGTAAATTATCTAATTCTTTACACATGAAGAAAAATATTGCTTTGTTTTGACATATGTTAATCAAAGAGATTTTGAGAATAATATTTTTTTTGCTTCGATTTTATATTGAAATCTCAAATCTTTTAATTAGTAATAAATAGATGCAATAATCTGTCGAATTTTCATAGAGTTTAGAAGGTCGAATGAAAAATGATACAGTAATTGATTCTATAAATCGACATAAACTTATTGATTGCACTGAATTTTTTTCAAAATCAATGGCTAAAAAAGCTGCAACTACAAGAATAAGTGAAATACAGAATAGAAAAAATTCTCTACAACGTACAAGTTTAATGTTTTGGAATTTCAATAAAAAATCTAGTGAATCAAATACATGGATTAAACAACATACATCAAAAAGTCGATTAAAAAGTGTTTTAGCAAAAGATTTCCATGAGTAAGTTGTTTGTATTACTCGATATTTGCAAACATTTAATTATGATATTGATTAGACAAGGTTTGATTTTTTGATTGTTATCAAAATTCTATGCCTAGTTATCAATAGAAGATTCCGAAGAAAACGATGAATTATATTCGTTTGAACTAGATATGAATTCACCTTATTATAGTCAAAGACAAAAATTATTTATTTCTCAACGTAAAAATCGTTTGCGTGGTATTTTAACAAAACAGTTAAAAAGTCGAAATCAAAGTCTTATTGAAGAACAATATCGTCATTTAAAGAGTAGGTAGTTTCTTGTAAGATCAAATTTAAATTTTATAATTCATTGAGAGAAGATACAAAAATACATAAACAATTAAATATGGAAGAAATTCAAAGTAAAATACGAGAAAGAGAAAAAGTGAAACGGTAAAAAGTTAAATAGTTATTCAATAAGATATTTTCTATTCTTTCAATAAAAAAAACAACAAAAGAGAACGTCTTATTAAACAACAAATATTAAAGTAAAATAATTTGAAAAATGATAGACTTTCATAAAAATTACATTGTTACAGTTCTTCGTTTTATAAAAATTCATCAATTCTACCTGCACCACCAAATCCACTGGATAATCCTCGCATGTATATATATAATTTGTTAATAAATTTGTTTTTTTTTGTGTAAAAATCAACTCTTTACAAGGAAAAACAATCAAACAATTCTACCTAAAATTCAATTTCAATTGAAAGAAAAGTAATTTAATTGCACTAAAATTTCGTGATTGAAGTGAAAATATTTATTATAGTATTGGAATTATTGGCAAATCTTATTCAGATTTTGATTTAATACGTTTGACATTAAAACCAAATATTGCAGATAATATCAATATGCCTACAGAATTTCTTGTTACTTTACCAGATGAAATGTACGTTTATTTAATTACTTTTGTTTTTCTTAGAAGTATTAGCTTTTTTCAAAGGAATAACGCAATACTGCATTATGATCAAAGTAAGCATCATAAGCAATATATTAGATTATTTAGAAAAGATTGTTTTTATAGTCATGGATAATAATCATTTAGACACTAACAAATATCAAGTATAATTGGAACAACTACTTGGATAATTGATACTTACGATGGATGCTTTCTTATTGCAGACTCAATAAAACATTCAATAGAATAATTTTATATTTGATTAAAAGTTCACAAAAGGCAGTTAATGCATACGCTGCCTAGACTTGCGAATAAATTCGATGACACTCGAGTTTTACTCGATTTCAAAATGTGACGCGAAGCTTTGACTGTCGATTATTGAAATAAGCAGAATCTCCTTAAAAAAAATTAATCGTGTCTACGCTTAATCACAGAATAATAGGCCATACATTTATGAAGTAGTGAATGATTATTTTTGTCTGCTATTTTTGAGATATCAAAACCCAATTATTGTCTTTGCCATGTTATTATTAAATTTCAGCGTTTGCCCGAGTTCGCCAGCATTGGAAGGCGAGAAGTCGATAACTTAAAAGATTTATTGAAAGATATATTGATATAATTGACCAGCTTTGGAGAGGATAGAGGGTGTTTTTAGAAATAGGTGAACAAAAAACAAAGCAATAGAACGCTAGAACCTTGCTGAAAAAAAAACGAAAAATTTTGAAGCTAACGAGGTCGTCTTGTCTGCTTGGAATACTCGTGTTAAAACTCAATATTATGATTATAAAAAGTGAATGAAATTAACCATTATATAGAAAACAAAAGTTTTTCAGACTTTCATAAACCATCAGATTCTATGAATTGATAAGTGTCAGCTATTGATGCAACGCGTGGGTGTGGACAAGGATTTTCTTCATTCATACTTGTTCAGGTTTTTCAATTATCTGAAGGATGCTAACATAATAGGCGAATCCACTTATGAACGTGAAAGAATCAAAATATGAAAAGAAGAAAAACCATGATTTGTATTGATAGACTCCTTGAATGAAACAGCTTGTTTCACAGTCGAGAAATGCCATTTAATCTTGTAAATATTTCTTAGAAATAGCTCTTTATATGTGCATTCGATACATGGCAAAAGAAAACTCATAGCGATCTTCAATGAGCACATGTCAAATAAAACGAAAGTGCTAGTTTGTTTTGCGCTTTTTTCAAACTCAATTTTTGAACAAAAACACAAGGAAGTTTGCTTTCACACGGTAAAACCAATGAGGTTTAAAGTGTTTTTTTTAATAGGTGCTTTGATCAAACAATCTTCAGAAAATAAGTAGCATGTTAAAGAAAACATGTTTTTTCATAGTGTCATTCAATATTTCGTTTCTCTTGGATTCTAAGAACATTATTTTTCATAGAAAAATGAAAGACTCACTCTGATTCAGTCCTAATTGTCTCAAAAAATGCTTTATACATTGTTGCGGACAGAAAAACGTCTAGTCACTTTCAGTCATTGAGATCTATTTACTCTAAAAGTTTCAAAACTGTTCATCCAGCTGTTCTCGAGGAATTTCATTAATCTATCTATATAGCTTTGATGCTTTGCGTGACTTCTCATTCAAATAATAATTTGTTAAAAATTATTTTGACTATAATGAATATTATATCAAAAACAGTATCCATATTACAATGATTCTAAGTTAACTGCACTTGCTTTATTTTATATTAAACTATATAATATGACTCACATAATACAATGATATTATATTAACAATAAAATAGTAAATTCTCATGAATAAATTCAAAAAAAAAAAAAACTAGAGGTCCAACATGATCTTCTATTTTTGCTTTGTTTAACGTGCAAAATGTTTTAAAGTTTGATAATTTCTATACCATATTGACCAAACACTTTTCAATTTATATTTAATACCATTATCTTTTGCCCATTGTTTAACAATTGGTCTTACACGTGCATAATTATATTTAGGCATTGTTGGAAATAAATGATGTTCAAGTTGATATTGCATTCCACCCCATAACCATTCCATAAAAAAATTATCGCATCGAGCATCACAAGTTGTTAAAAATTGTGTTTCAACAAATGAATGACATGAATTATGAATCATTTCTTCACTTTGATGTGTTGCTGTAACAATCATAGCAACAAGAAAACCACCAAGAAGTATGGAACCAAGAGCTACTTGCCAACCAAGCATATAAAGCCATATATAACTTGGTAACATAAAAAAAAGTTCACTATAATTTAATGTACGAAATGAATGTTGAATTGATTGCCATCGCCAACTTAAATATAATAATGAATAAACAGGTACAAAATATAAATGTTGATAAGTTCGAAACCAAAAATCTTTCTCTTTTGAAGGAAAAAATAAATGAAATATAGGATCATTTGCAACATCTGTATCAATGCCAAGATTATTTGTATAAATATGATGAGTATTATGTTTATGTGACCACCATGTTGGACTAAATGCATTAATAAAACCTGATAATGTTCTACATAACCATCGCATCCATGTACCTCTTCCATGTGCATAATCATGTCCAATCCAACCCGCTTGTTGCATACCAAATCCAATAACAATTATAGCTAAAAGATCATAACCCCAATAAAAATGACAAAATGTACCAAATAAACACATTAAATAAACTGATATCTGATAAAATAATTCCCAAAATATTGATCGATTAAAATAATCTTCTTTAATTAAATTTTGTCGTAATTGTCGAAATGAAAGTGTAAGATTGGTTGGTTCTATATATGGAAGTACATATTGAACATGAATAGAAGAACATGGTTTTAAATAAGATAATCGTTTAATAGCATCTTCACTATGTAGAGCATAAAATGCATCTGTTGCATCTTTTCCATTTAAATTTTGTAGAATTTCTCGACCACCTGGATGTATATTTTGCCATTGTGTAAGATCATACCAATGTCCATTTATAAATAAATATAAACGATTATTATTGATGAACAATGATGAATCATAATGTGTTGTTGTTAATATATTATGATTTGTTTCACCATTAGGAGCCATTATAAAATTATAATATGATGTTATAATGTGATAAATCTCTCATGCACTGAGATAATGATGATCGATGGCTGAAACAAGCAGGTCAGATTGTTAATATTATCAACAAGTACCTATTAAGTGCAAACAAAAATGATGAATCATAGAGGCGAACCGCAAAAGGAAAAAGAATGGAATGGCGTGATACTAAATACTTAAAGAACAGAAAAATGGATAAATATTAGTTGTCTTAACATGCATCGCCAGTAGACCCATTATTGACAAAGCAACGTCTTTTTTCAAATTCAAAACAATATATTATTTTGACTTTGAGCTTCCATTAATATACTGATATCTCTGTTGAATAAGTATATGATTTCGAAAGAAGATCGTCATTTTATCTTACATATTTCAAATAGAGAAGTTTTAAAAGTACAAAGAAAAGAATCTTCATCTATGTTAATGTTTTTAATGTGTATTTCTCTTGTTTGTATGTAAAATTCAAATCGAATCACCAAATATTTTTATTTAATTGATGTATTTATATGAAAATAGATTAATTTCAAAAAGAAAAAAAATAATAATAAGCTAAATTTTCTGATATTTTCTAAATTTCAATCTATTGTCTTTCCTTTCATTTGGATTCACATTTATTTAATTGAGAAAGAAGATATGAGAGTCGAAATTAAATCAGACAAACATGTTTAATAAGCTTGACTATATATAAACACGTATAGATTGAATAGAAAAGATCGAAAAATTTCATTCATACCAATACTAACAAATAAAGCTAAAACCTTTATATTTTTTTATTATACATATACAATATTTGTATATATAATATAAACAAATAAATAACTTTTTACAGTAATAATAATTATGAATGACACTGATATTTTGTATGATAATTATTTTTATTTCCAACATTTGTCATGTTTATCTTTTATATTAAAGAGAGAAAAAAAAATCGTACGACTTTATTTTATCTTCTACTTTACTAACAACACAAGTATCATCATCATCATTAGGTTGATAAAATGCAATAAAATCTTCTGTAATAGATAATATTATATTTTTTTTATATCTATGGTGTATGATACAAAAATTAAATTAAATACAAAGATAAATGTCTATTTGTCGTTCACCATCAACAATCTTTCCGTAGATTATATGATACTGATCATTATCAAACTAACGAACAATAAAGAAAGATAACGTCCTTTTTCTAATAGTTTCTTGTATAAAAACCGAAGATTTTTGTTGAAAATTTATCGACTTTAACGCGACAGAATTCTTTTAAATACTGTTTAAAAAAAAAGAAATAAAAAAGTCTACTTTTGCATTTGACAAAAAATATCTATTGAACAGAAAAAAGATCATAGACTCAAAAACATGTTTTTTGTTTTTTTTTTCTACTCATATCATTAAAGACAGATTAAAGAATAGAAGTAAAGAAAATAAATCATTCGAAAAATAATAGAATACATTACATTGACTATTTTTCTATTGAAAAATTTATCTAACAATCTGAAAAACAAATTATATTGTGCGTACACTGTTTTTTGAACACAGTATGATACAATAAGTACATCGAAAGCAGTAGGTATTCTAGATGTTTTGCTTCTGCTTGCACACTTGCCATTGACAAACATTGTCACAAAATGATTGAACCACAATGAGCAACAAGATGTCATCGGTCACATGATGAACCAATAAGAAATTTGAAAGAATAGCAACATCATGACTTAAGACAAAAAAACATGAACATGGCCGTCCTTAACAAGATATATCAAACGCTTGTTCGACTTAAGTGAAAGTTGTTGTTTAGTAAAAAAAAAAAGAATTTGAAATTCAAAACCTACTAAAATAATACCTTTGAACACTAGTATTTTTATCTTCAAAATTTTTAAGGAAAAAAAATTAACCTAATCAATCAAATATATCTCATGGCTTTGAGAAGGTTTACCACTTGTAAAATTTAATTCTCTATCAATTAATATCTTACTGATCTATCTCAGATCATTTGAATGAAAGAAATTCTGTTATTATATCACATCAATGCTGAAGAAAAAATTCTCTTTTTATCATTATAATAAAGTCGGAAGATAAGTAATGTATTCATCGGTAGAGAATGACATTCAGCATTTAATAGACAGTACTAGAAGCGACCTATGGATAAAAAGAATTTTTTTGTGCCGCTTAACTTGTTTTTTTTTAATAATATATCAAGTATTAAAATTCAGCTTTGAGTATGTTTGTCCAGAAGTTAAG